CTAGTACATACAATTAAATTTAAATCAATCACTTAAAAATGTCCATAGATTAGGATGAACAGTTTGGAATTTTTCTTTAAGCTGGCTGTGGAATGACTCAATATTATTATTGGTTCTTCGAGGAACACCGTGAACTGAAAACACTTCTGGTCCTCTTGTCTGTATCCAATAACTTGAAACCATATAATTATAATGTTAAGTGTAAATTTAATCAATTTAAATCGGTACATAGGTGTTGTATATGTATACAAAAAAAAAAATATAAACTGGTGAAGTATCAATAACTTTGTTCATGTAATTTATTGAATAGAAATTGAATTGTTTTAAATTAACTTGTGTAAACAATGTTAAATATCTAGGTATTTACTTTGATGAGGATATAAAATAGAAAACACAAATCAATTTAACTACAAAAAAATAAAGAAAGCTTTTCTTTATATTATTTAAAGAATTAAATGTTATTCTAGATCTATTTTCTTTGCTTAGTTTTTATTTTGCTTTGGTGCAGTCTGTCTTATCCTACGGTATAGTTTTATGGGGATCGGCTTATCCAACCACTAGGTATAAAACAATTAATTATGACTCTTCTGTTTTAATTTATTTATTTTTAGTTTACTCTTGTAATAATTTTTAACTTTCATAAATTTTAAAAAATCTTGTTAATATTATATTATTTGTATAACTAATACCTGAAGTCTCTCCCTCTCACCACAAGCATGCTTAAAGAGAGGGGTAATCAGCTCAGTTCATATAATTACTTGTTTTTTTTTTTTTTTTTTGTATTCTACCTGTGTTGAATAATTTATTATTATTATTAGAAAACAAAAATAATTTTTTCTTAATTTGTTTATAATAAATTAATTCAAAAATAGTTGTTAATATACTAACTACTATTAATTTGTTTGGAATTTTAGTAATGCCTATACAGACTATGAGTAATATTAATTACTACATAACGGTCACCAAAGTAGGTATTTAATTTGTAAATATTTTTCAACTTACTTAGAGAAATAAGTAAAAAAGGAAGTCAGATTTATATTGTTGTCCCTGCTGTATCGTCGAATTATTTGGAAACCTTCTTCTATTTTGTTAGATGGTAATAAAGCTAAAGCAGCTGTCATTTTAATGCATATTTGAGCCATTTCGTTGTTTGTAACATAGGGTATTAATCCTTGACTCCTAATATTTTTGACCAAACACTATTAAACATACAAAATATTTAAGTTAATCATATGGGTGATAACTAATTGATTAATTGGACTAAATAAAATGTTAAGTGCCAATTAATTTTAAATAAAAATTAACAAACAAATACCTGGACATAGTGAAAAAAACATGCATGTTGAATTGCATCTGGATATACAATTTTGAAAGCATTCTGTAATGCAATTTCAAAGTCAGTCATTATACATATTGGCTTAATTTCTGGAAATAGAACTTTACACTTCATCAAAACCTGAGTGTATGCTGTCTCAGTTTTTGATTCCATCAATACATATATCACTGGTATAGACTGTTAAATAAAAATGATACAATTTTAGTATTCTTAAAATGTTAATATTTTGGGTAGGTAAGTTATTTTGGTCTTATTGAATTTTTGAATTTCAAGATTTTACAACTTTTAGTGTTTTTTTAATATAAAGATATCAGTAACTAAATTATGATAAAACTCACATGGTTTTGAATGATGATATGCATTATAAATAACTGTCTGCAATTTGGTCGAGATGGTACAACCTTAAAAGTTGCATCAGCATGCACTTCTTCACCGCCTTGATTAACCACTTTACGGATAAGATCAATACAACCAAATATCACTGTATACTTTCCTTGATTGTCAATAGTATAATCTTGATAGAATGAATGACCACAACATTTATATCTATCCAAATGTTGTTCAAGGTACTCTTTTAATGCATCCAGTGTAGGTGGTAATGGGGGAATAATTTTTTTACGAGCTTTACGCATAGAGGTTTCAGCTGTTGGCCAACAATAATGTACAGCAGCTCTAGCATATCTGAAACGACAATAAATCATACATTATGTTTGGTTTATGAATTATACCTAATACAAATATTATTCATAAGAATTATTGTAAACAGAATTCTGAAATATTTAGAAATATTTGTTGAATAAGGTAAATAAATTTAAAAACTATAAAAAATAAATTAACAATTAATTCAAAAGTGTGCCAGTTAAAAGTTATTTACGTTGATACATATACACCATACACGTGAAGAGTAAGCATTTGTAATAAAAGATTATCAAATAGTATTATAGGCGTTATTATTATTATTAGATTATTAAATAGTATTATAAGATATGTATTAAAGGAGCTAGAACATTCTTTAGGTATTCAACTACTTTTAGATGCGTATACCCATAAATGTATTTAACAATACACCACTGTTTAGTTCTAAACATAAAATATTATAATACCTTAAACATTCTTCATCGTAGATGATTCGAAGTTTTGTAGTTTCTTCAACTGCTCTTTGAATCAATTTTGACCTAAACTCTTTTTTTGATTCCAGCCGTTCGGTTTCAAGATTATTAGGCTCATGGGTATGTGGTATTTGGTTAACAATAATGCCATTAGCAAGTCTTTTGGCTGTTCCTTTACAATACCGTTCACGACATACCAAATATCTGAAAATATAAATACAAAAATATTTTGTATAATATGTAGGCCATGGTACCTAATTAAAACTAAAAATACTGACAAATTCAAAATTATGTAGATTAAATAATATAATAAAAAATTATTTTTATTTGTCATTATTAGCCTCTTTAGTTAAACAAATATCTCATGAATACATTATTATTATTTTAAGCTATTAAAAAAACTATTAAATAGGTAAACTATTAAATAAATATAAAACATTTATTGTTATGTACAAGTTAATACAAGTTATTACAATATGTAATTAGTAAAACGAAGGTATTAAAAGCTAAACATAATAATGTACACTTACCGAATACCCTTTTTTTCTCCACCATTGTATTTGTAGGAAAATTCTGGATTCATTGTATAAACTTGTGTAGTTAAACTTTTGAATAATATTAATAAGGAAATATCACAAAACTCAATTTATTTACGACAGTAAATTTATAAAATAAATGAATTGAAAACTCGTATTTATAATTGACACAATACTATAGTCTATAGAAGATGTCAACTATTATAACTATTATACATGCCATCAAACCGTGAAGAAGCTTTAACAAGTTGACTGCCTCGAGCGTCATAAGATCGTCACGAAGTGCCGAAGCAGTATAGACATAATAATATGGTGAACAATATTAATGAACTATGAACAATGAAAATGGTACATAGACTGTCATTGGTAATCGGTATAAACTAATTCCTAAAATTTCCATAATACATAATAGTCATATTTCTATTTTGGTAATTTACCATATTTATTTTCGGTTTTGTTCAAAAGTTGATAATTGATAGATAATAATAATAATAATAATAAATAATAGGTTTTTATTAGGTACTGGTGGTACATAACATAACAATGACAACGACTGCGAATGGTGATCGCCCGCCGCCCGGTTAACGACCAGGACAATAGTGATCAGAAAAACCCGACATTGAAACTATTTTTTTTTTTTTTTTATTAATTTTCAATAAGATATTCCTAGCTCATTCTATTTATATCTAGAGATATTAAAGAATTAATAATACATTTTTGGCTTGCGAATTGCGAGGATTAATATTCAAATTAATTTTACTTTGAAACTAAATATATAGCACATTATTCTTCAATGTTAATAATATCGTATTATCGTGTATTGTCATTCAAACTTTTGCTGGTCTCCCTATTTACTATTATACGTATTAGGTTACACTGTTATAAAAATGCCAAACTGTATATTTTATCAATTCTCAGTATTCTCTGGGATAATTGTCCTTTACAGAACGGCGACTACCGTCCGTTTATTTATTGAACGAAAACATAGCTTACTGGTTAGGGTACCTAGTACCTACCGTTTTCAAATATAAATATTGAATACAATGATTTTCATAATAATTTAATGTAAAAAAAATTTAAAAATATCGAAAATGAATAGCATAATTTTCTATACCTTTTACCTAATCTAACCTAATATACAATATTCTATATAGGTGGTCCCAGGATTTGACTGGCTCAGCACATTTAATTAAGTACACATTTAATACAGAATACACATACATTCCTATACCTATAACACACTCATGGCTCACACACACACACATATATAATATTATATTCTATAAATTGCATTCAATTTACCTACTTATAATTTTTAATTTATTTAAAAATGTGGCGGTTGAAAATTTAAATGTCAGGTGCAGCACAGAGCTTGCACCCGCGTAGGACTGCCCAATGCCTATGATATTCTAATGTTTATGCGTTTAAAGTATACGACAGCCCGACAACGTATATCAATATAATATCATTATATCACAATCATATAACATTTAAATTATAGTAGTAGTGGACCTATATTATAGTAGTGATTGAAGGGGCGCCTGGTCCACTTTTATTTTAGTCTGTAGGTTTGGAATTTTGGATGAATCAAAATGTTGATTTAGATATAACGCCAAAATGTTTAAATTATTTTAAATATGCACTGACAACAATCATTCATACAATCACTACAATCCTTAATATGCAATTGTATAATACCTAAATTATGTCATTATTTTATAACTATTGATCGGATTTAATCGCGTTAAAAATATGTTAAAGTTACATAATAAAATCATATAAAATATATAATAATTGTTAATTACTTACTTCGATAACATGATGGACATTAACAAATTACGTAGTTCTAAAATAGTATTAAATAAATAAAAAATTTAAAAAAGTATTTAAAAATTCAAATATATTATTTTACTGAATTATTATTATGTAAAATTAGGCATTTATTTTACATTATTCCTAAATTGTGTAGCTGTAAAATGTATTACCTGTCACTTAAAATATTTTAATACTTAATATAATGAAAAAGTACGTTCAACGTCTACACTAATTAAAACAATTTAATATCATTGCATATTTAAAATAATTTAAACATTTTGGCGTTATATCTAAACTAACATTTTGATTTACAGCCATAACCTCAGAGTAAGTTTCGTAGTTGTATATCCTTCATTTTTTTTTCTATAGTACATATTTAAATTAACCTTTAGCTATATTCCCATTGGGACTTGGAATAATCATAAAAATATTTTCAATTTCACAAATATCTTTTAACTATTATGTAATTGGCAATTTCATTTTTCTAAACTTGTGAGTTTTACGGATAACTTGATAAATATAATTTTAAAAATGCAAAACGAATTAATAATTAGTAATTTATCACATGAAAATCACGTCAACAATAATCTACAATCATCGCAAAAATTGCAAAACCGTTGAAAATGGCAACAAGTTAAATCAAAATTAAATATAATGATGTGGATTAGTGTATATATGTTTGATCAGATTTGGTTTACCTGATATCATAGGTATGATACCTAGATAATTGCATTAAGGGTGTAAGAAAGTAGTATAGTTATATTATAATTTATAATAAAATATCGATATACCAGCCATAGCCATACAGAAAGTAAAATATTAATATAATATTGTTGTAATTATAATAATATGTTTTATATAAAAATTTACCAGGTAGATCGCATACTATTTTAGAAACATATAGAGGCATAGACCACACCAGTACTGGCCCAATTATGTTTTACATAAATATATAATATAGAGAAGTAGATAGGTAGGACAAGCGGCGGGCAAGGAAGATTATCACATGGCTCAAGAGTTGCCTATATGTTACTCCTAATGTTTGAACAATCCTGGGAAAAAATTCCCAAATTTCAGTTTCCTATGTAATATCTTTCCAGTGAAATATTTTCCTTAATTTTAATTTTCTGTGTAATACATTTCCAGTTAAAAACTGTCCTGAATTAAATTTTTTTGTGTTATATCTTTCCAGTTAAATACTTTCCTGAAAATTATTTTCCTATGTAATAACATTCCAGTTCAGTACTTTCTTAAGAAATATTTTCCCAAAAAAATATTTCCTGAACTTTTTTTTCCCACGTAATATCCTTCCATTGAATAATTTCCTGAAATTTATTTTCCTGAATAATATTTTCGCCAAAATATCTTTCCCGAATATCAGTTTCCTGTGTAATAATTTTCCTGGTTATACTTACCTATATATTATTGTTCCTGTTAAATGTATTCCCGGCTTTTACTTTCCCGATGTATGCAGCCCCCCGTTTCGATATTGCGGAACGTCCGCTATGAATATCCGCATGTGTGACACCGCGGGCGTCACCCGTCTTATCGTTCACGATAGTAATTGTATGGTTATTATAACGAAAATATAGCCGGATTACAAAGCCAGGTCCACGCGACCACGCAGATTCTTGTTATCGTTGTGTTTCTGTTTATAGAAACAATTTAGATTATGTCTATAACGATAAGTCCATGTTGGAAAAAGTTGAGTTTATATTTTGTCTTGTTTTCTCGCTCTGTGAAGACCCGGTATTATTTATTACCAAGTTTACCGACAAATAAAGTAATGTAATTATTAGGTAGGTAGTGACTAGTTACCTATAAGCTATTACTGAAGAGCGGATTTGTAGGTTCTCATAAAAGTTTAAAATATGATTCTAAAGATGCAAATTTCTAATTCAACACTATTTGTATGCTCATAATATTCTTTTCAGAAATCATCCAATGATCCAATTAAAATACCTTTAGAGGACGCTTCACACACATTATTTTGTTGTTTCCATCTTAAGGTTAACATATCTACCAAATTTTTGCTCAGCGAATCACGTTTAGCTTCGTTAATTCAAAAAATAGAATAAATTGACCTATTATGAAACTTGATGGTAAGAACATTATCTGTTTGCGTGTATGGTTTTTACGGTAGTTCGGTTTTAAGTGAGTTATAAGCATTTTTTTTTTTTTTATTTATTATAATTAAAATGTTTCAACATATTGCATGTTATTACAAGTTTGTTATTTCAATTAATACAATTTAGAATTTAGAATTTAATTGGAATATGGTATGGATGATCGGAAGATAGTGTGTTAATTAAGGAGTGGGAGTGATGAGGAGAGGAAATTTATTTATTAGGGGTGTTAAAGCAGCTAGGAGGGGGTTTTGGATTAATTTTAGCTCGTTAATGAGATTTGTGACGATTTGGAGAAGTTGATCGGATGGTGGTGTATTTGCTGTGGCTTCGGCATATGTGAGTTTTTCTCTTGGGTTTGAGCGTAGCGTATCATGCCCACTTCTGTGGGGTACACGTGGTACAGCTTGAGTTTGTGTGTGTTGATTATCTCTTTTTGTTGTTTTGGTTTTGGAGTTGATGCGGCTTAATATTTTTTTGAAGGTTTAGCAACCTTTATAATTGGCAGTGTGGTTTCCGCCACATTTAGCACATTTTGCTGGTTCCTCCAGTTGTTTTGTGCAATTATCAGTGAAGTGTTCAGCTCCACATTTAACGCATCGCGGTTTGTGGCGGCAGTAGTTGCGTGTATGTCCATACTTTTGGCAATGATGACATTGGGGAGGGCCAAGTCGTCTCTTTGTGTATTCGAATTTTATAATTGAGTTTAATAATTTGGTGATTTTGAATATTTCACGGTTATTGGTGTTACGAGCTAAGCTGATGTTGAATAGTGGAAGTGGCAATTTATTCGCACTGTGTGTTATATTTGTGATGCTGGTTACTTTATGTCCTAGTTCGTTTAGACAGTTTATGATATCTGTGGTAGAAGTGGAGTGGTGGAGGTGGCGTAGTACCACACGGAATGGTTGGGAGGAACGAGGCATTCTTAATATATGCTACATTATAGTTAAACATATACCTAAGCAAAACTTGCTAAAAAATTGAAGTATCTTAGAAACCCACTGGCACTTATAAATACAAATAATGTTCTTATCATCAAGTTTCATAGTAAGTATTCACTCTAATTTTTAAACTGACGAAACTAAACATGATCTGCTCAGCGTAATTTGCCGAGTTAGGCACTTTAAGTTGTAAGACGGAACCAACTAATGCCCGTCGCGTCCTCTTATAAAATACGCCAAACTTGTAAAAAACCTATGCTGTTTTGTTCGTCAAAAATTTTAAAAATCTGGGCTTTTGTCGTAATAAGAAATTTAGTATCATGTATAATAGTACATGTTTATAGTTTACATTTAACTCTATAAATGTATAATATTTTAATTTACTCACCATACATTAATATTCCACACTTCATAATAATAGTATGCTCTAACTTTAAAATTTTTGTTGCACACATTTTCTTCGAATAGTTATTAAAATTGAGTCAAATTTGAATGAATTAAGCAGATTATACAACCAAACAATTTCCAATTTAATAACAATGTTCTTGAACGGTTTTTATAATTTTTAAAGACTGAATATTCTATAATTTCCAAAATACTCTTTTATAGATATTTAATATTTATACAAAATAATTTTTTTCCAAGAAAATCTTGTCCACATTTTCAACCTCGTTTTGATGCCCCTTAAATAGGTAATGAATACATATAATAAGTAAAAACCTACAAATCCTCTCATTAGTAATAACGTGGTTATTTAATAAATTAATAATTATTCATAAGGTAGTTAATATTTAATTATAAAACAGTTGTGATGTGTCCGCGCTCCAGGTTTATATGGTAACCCTAACAATTAACTAATGAAATAATATATTTTTTTTAAAGTCTGGGCATACGATTGAATTCCGTAATGCGTATCATATATTATACCAACTATGTACTTCAATATAATTTTATATTTTTATATACATATAACATATACATATAACCTAGTCGAGAATCCCATGCTTCTTATTTGTGAATTGCGATACGAATAAATGAGAATGGAAGTGGGAGACCAACAGACGTTTGTCATAATGTCGTGCACGACAACCGTTGTGATAAGACGTCTGCCAAATGTAGTCGTGTTGCGCCATGTTGCCACTTCCAGCAACGGGCAACAACGATTCATAACCAAAACGGATAAAAAAATCTGATTTTTAGATAAAAAATTTAAAAGTAATTATAAAATAAAAAAGAAAGAACAATTTTAAAAAAACTCGTTTGATTAGTAATATTTTTATAAATTTGTCAGAATAAAAAAATATTTAAACATTTTGAAAAATTTAATCATGATGCCTAGTACACGTGCGTGATAAGTCGTCAATAACACCACACTAAACAACAATATTAACACTAAATAATATCTATTAAATCTTAACAACGATAATAAGAAATAACGGTTGTTCGCCTAAACGATTCGAATTATTTAATAAGGAACAGCGATCCGTCGCCGACGATGTGCGGCTGTAGTCCATGATTCATCTGGCCCGTGAACACCCGTAATGGATAAGTACGTGAAGCGCATTAAGAGGAAAGAAGACAATGGCGGAGACGACACAGACGTGGACAAATTCTACGTACCCGGCGGCCAGTTGATGGCTGCGGACTCTGCTGTGTCCTGTGCACTAGGCATCCAACAACCCGCAGCCCCTCAAAAGTCCGATCGACCAGCCACTCCGCCTTCGCCGATTTTGTCTATGTCTCCGACATCGGAAGACTTATCCTTATCGAAAAGTATGTACCTACCAGATTGTCATAGTCGAAAACGGCAATATCTTTATATTTATATAATGCTCTCACTTTGAGATTATCGAGAATAGCTCTTACATGAATATTGTATGACATCTTGGTAGTATAATTGCTCGTGTTGTTGATTTCATTAGTTTATTAAAAAATTCATAACATTCACATAGGTATTTCCTTGATTGAAATTGCACTTGAAACCAACATTACTGTTGACCAAGGCACTCTCTTAATATTCCATTTTCTATTTGTAATTGGCCTTATGAAATATAACTTTGAAGATACCTATTATGAAATTTGGAATAAAATTATTTGTTTGGACTATTGCGTTGGAATATAAAAATATCGGGTAGAGGGGAGTCAGCTGATTGTTCCAATCTTCGGGTGTTATGAAGTTGATAAGTTAACTCATTTTCTATAAATATAATCATTTTATTACAAGATTACTTAATTTGGTGTGTTAGTGATGAGTGATTTAATTTGATTTTTGAAAGTGATTTACTTTGATTTAATTTTGTATTTTATCTTGCTGTATTCAGTTTATAATAAATGTATTTTTTACTGCCATAGTTTCTTGTACTTTGAGTGGAGTAAAACCATTGCATGTAGTTGCAAAATATTAGGTTTCTTACAAAAAATCCTACTTTTATATTAAATAATATATTATTTGAAAAGAGGACATCATTGAAAGTAGGAAATTGGTAACACAAATGATGCAGTGAATGAGAAATCAATCTGTGTATCATAATCTTCTAAGCAGTCAACCACCATTGTGCTATTGAAATTAGTAAATAGATCTTCTTATTGTGTCCGGTGTAAATAGATGTGGACAAACTTCATTGATGTATTGTGATAGAATTTCGTGTTCGAACCTAGATGATAATTGTACAAGGAAAAAGTGCAGGCAGATAATTTTTATCTGAGCTATCTATTGTCAATTAACTACCATTTTCAAAACATTCATGTGTAAATACAATTGTTTTTTAACTTACTTTTTTTTTTAATACCTAATTTAAAGCTTAAAATTGTAATTTCATATATTTTTAGGGTTTATTATTAGTACTACCTCTTTGACTGGAAATTATTTGACATAATTTAGCATGATTTAAGAATATAGAGTAAATATTTATTTTATCATAAAACTCAAATAAATAAAACAATCTAATATAATTGCAATTATTTTATCAAGCGTATTGTATGAATGATACTTATGGTTTCTAAGAATTGTCACCTAGTTATTGGTAGTCTTAAAGGCTATAGCCATAAGGTTAATTCACACAAATCTACACATTTCACATTATTAGCATTAGATTTCAGTGTTTTCATTGATAGCTAGAAAGTAATGTGCAATAACTACTAATAAGTGTATATTATTATATAATAACTAATATATACTACTAATTAATATTTAATATAATGATAATGAATTATTTTTTTATGTCACAGAAACAATAGGACAAATGAAACGCATTTACGTTTCTAGACGTTTGCTATTCGATGATGAAGAAAAAGTCAACATAAATAAGCCTGTTAGTCAACATTTGATCGTCAACTCTCAACCAACTGATGTCTTGGAAGAAAAGGTTAGAAATAATAAAATAATTAGCTTACAAACAGTACCGTCTTTTTAAAGAGGAATTGATATTAAATGGTTTTATTTGTTTTTTTTTTTAAAAATATAGTACAATATACTACATTTATAAAATTAATTGTTTCTGTTGTAACTTAAATTGCCATAAGTCTATAAATAATTAGTTAATTTGTGACAGTGTGATTTTCTTGTGGGTATTTTTTTAGTAAAATATCTTTTTTTTTCAGAAGACTTCGGGAGACGATGCTTGTCAGACTATCATCAACTCTCTGTCAGCTCGCGGTTTTGTAGTAAACAATCACAATCCCTGTAATGACTGTGGTGGATCACTTGGACAATATGGCTTCTATAAGTTAGCTGGCACAGATATGCAGACGACTGACATGATAAGAGAAGGTGGTGAAGTACTGACGTCGTTGTCATCCGTCTGTAACCAGTTTGAATGTCTGTCAGTGTTTGAGGGCATCATTTACACCGTGCATGTGGCTGCTGCTGGTCTGGCAGGTGATAAATCAATCGAGACAGCTAAAGTATTGGCGACTGTTGGTCCACACCCGCACATTGTCTCTTATTTCTGCAACTGGATGGACACGCGTTATCATTTCATGCAAACAGAACAGTGCCAGGCAAGCCTGTCATCACTGCGCATGAACAACATTGCCGACTGCCGTATGGTGTTGGAACACATTTCGTGTGCGCTACATTATTTACATGACGGCAAGATGTACGCGCACAATCGTGTCAGCCTCCAGAATATCTACTCAGTCTTGGATGGTGACCGCGTCATCTACAAACTAGGTGGGTTTGGTGCGGCTACCAAGCTAATACCGGATGGTAGCGCCACCGTAGCTGATGTCCAATCTTTGTGTTTGATGGTGTCGGAGCTGATCAAAAATGGCGATGGGTGGTCTGCAGACGAAGAGGATCTGCGACACTATCTGTCAAACATGGCAGGAACAGTAAATCCGGCCACTGTGAATGCTCTGTCTGTTTGGCGTTGGTGTTGTGACGCCCGGCACCGGCCACCACTAATGCAATCGCGCCAGACTGGGTTGTCAGACATAGTTTATCGGAACATCGGTACAAGTAACGTTGACAGAGGAGATGCAGCTGATCAAACTGCCATACTGTCATCACTCAGGAAAATTAAATTGCCATGGCTATTCGGCCGAGCAAGTGACAATGAGTGAAAAAAAAAACATTTTAAAACAGAAAAATTACCAAGGTCGGTGCTATTTGTTGGCGAACTAACCAGTTTTAGTTTTCGTGTTATGTTTGTTAAAGTTATTGAATTATAATATTGCTTACACATTGTTACGTTTTGTGTGACAACATTTAAAAAATTCGCGCAGAAATTATATTTTTCTTTTCTTTGATGCGCAGACTAAGTAGTTCCTGTTGTTTATCCATTACAATTACTTTTATTGTTGAAAAATCTAGTTTATTGATTTTTTTATATAAGTGTACCTACCTATAAGTAGTGTTTCTTTTTTACTATTATTATTATTTTTTTTATTTTGAGTATTTTGAACTAATACTTTATTATTTTGTGTGGTTACTGTGTATTGAATCTTATTAAATTGTAAACATAAGTTAATCAACTAGGACGTTGATGTGATAAAAGTTTCTAATAAATAATTTTTTATTATTTTTTTTAAAATTTATTTCTTATGCCTTGTCATCAACTATCACAAATCGTAAATGTTGCATTACCCAACGTAATGTAAGAGGATTGAATACAAACGTTTTTCTACTGTACCAAATTTTAAATAGTCTTTATATTAAATTCAATATTCATGTTATACGCATTATCAAGGCTGGCCAAGTTCACTAATTTTTTTAAAAGCATTAAGTCAAGTTAATAAAGACAAATTGACGTGAAGTTTAAAATTAAGAGTTACTTTTCTTTTCCTATAACTCGATAAAAATTGTAAGTCGATCTGAAAAAAAGTAACTTTACTTAGTTGAAAATAAATTACTTTTTTTCATGTAAAATTAATTATCATACTTTATCATTAAAGCTTAATAAATAAAATAATATAAGAGGTCTCACTATTTAAAAAAATGTATGTCATTGTATTCAATATAGTTGTACTTACATACTTCAATTGATCAATTAAAAAATCAACAATACAAATAAATTATTTTAATGATTTTTTGTTACTTATAAATTATTTACTAGTAAATCAATTCATACATTTTACAGGTAAATAATTGTACTGATTAGTTATTTCGTTATTTTAACACCTATTGAAATCTCAAATACAGAAATAGTGCAAAATACTTGTGAATTGTGATAGTTTACAATTTAAAACATATTTAGAATACAGAATAAAATAAGTAATAACATAAATAATATTTGATTTTTCTCTAAAACTTTAACTGCTAAATTAACTCTGTTATTTATCAGTTTCTTGGTAAAAACAAACTTGTTAAGCGACTTAGTTTAAAGTAACTTAACTTTAACATTTTAACTCGTTAATGCCCAGCTTTGTGCATTATACATTAAATTGCTGCAAAAAAAAAACGCAGAAGAAAAACAGATGGGTTTATCAATTTTAATTGTTTATCGTAAAATTTTATTTCTTACTTATAACAAACATGCTATTATGCAAGCCATAAAAGCATTTCAAAAATCATTCGCTCAATTAAGTTAAAAATTATATGGAAATTTACAATTAACTTATTAACTTGAGTTAAATTATTCATTTTTTTCATATATTATATATTATTAAAGCCATTAATATGGGTTGAAATAAAAAAAATCATTAATATTATTGGCAATGTAGTTGTTAATGAATATACTGATATTAGCATAACCCAATCGGTTTTAACCAGGATTGGTAAATAATGTTTTAAAAAATTATTTAAAAATATAACATGATTTTCATACTTAAAATATGTTTTTTTTTAAATAATTTTTTCAACTGTTTTTAACGTTTCAATTAAGTTTAAAACAAAATATGTCATTTATTATTTTCAATTATTGTAGACTTTGTACTTATAAAAAAAAGGAAAAATAATTTTTTATAAATCAATGATATAAGATTTTTAAAATTGTGGTTGATAATTAATGATAAAGAATGACATACTATTTTGGGGGTTAAAATTATTTTATAGTCACCTGATAATCTGTAACTTATTAGTTATTCTATACCTATTTAACAGTATTAATATTAATAGGATTAACACAATTTTGCATTGATTAAGGTGTAGGAATAAAACTTAGCTTAAAAGTAAAAATATATGAGACTAAATTGTCAATTGATCTTTATTTTTTAGTTATTTTTTTTTTAATTTAAAAATCAAAATGAATTATTACAAATTTAAACAAGTTTAACAAATAGGTACAGTTTTGATTACCTACCTCCTGTAAGCTAATAGCTTGTATTGAAGGTAGAGAATTACTACATTTACCGACAAAATAAAACAATTAATAAATTAATCAGGTAATTTCTTATAATATTACGTACATTGATTCATGATACGATCACTTTCAAAAATACAATAAAGTAAAGAAAAAACAAAGTGATACAAAGTTTAAAAATATATTAATAATACATTTAGTTGATACAGCATTTTGACAATCAAAATAATATACTGTTATGTATATAAATAACATATATTTTAGCAATAATTTACAATAGAGAATAAAACTAATACACATTATTATTCAATTCTAAAAACATATATTTATATAATAATCCTTTTACATTAATTTTTTTGCATGTAATAATATTTCTTTTAAAGTCCAGAGGCATATAAATGTCTGACCAAAAGATTTATTGGTATATTTAACTGGAAAATCATATTTTCTAATTTCTCCTAAGTGACTATTGTCATTATCATTATGTAACTGCTCAATATCAAGTTGTTTAATAATGAACATAATTGCTATTTTTTTATATTATTGTTTTACTGGCAAGACCTCTAATTCCTTATAATTATCAATTGTTGATCCTTGTAATGACAGCTTATTTAGGCGAATTTTAACAATGTTATTCTGATTTATTATTAGGTGATTTAAAATATTGTTTCGAAGGCCACCCCATACTAATAAACCGTATTGAAAACTGGAGTGGTATAGAGCAAAGTAAACTAATCTCATTGTTTTCTTTGGGACTATTTTTTTTAGTTTGAACATATTATAAGTTATAAAGCATAGTTTCCCTAATAGATTGTTAACATGTAGGTTCCATTTTGGCAATTTTAAACGCTCATAAAAAATTATTGTGGATTTATGCTCAATTTTTTTTTATTTCCTTTAACAACGACTATTATAAGGGACCTTGTATTACATTTAGAGTTTTTTGACTCAGCGAAAAATATTTTATCGACATTAGTTTAAGCAAATCAAATAATAATTGAACATTTTTCAATATTTTGAATTGTATGGTGTATAAAAAACACTAACACAAATATTCAGTGAAAATGTCATGTATCTACTGTGTTTTTTTCTAGAGTTACACTAAAAACCAAAATCGATTTATCGAAAACTGCTTTAGAGAAAAAATTTCTGTTTTCCTAAATGTTTTGTTTGTTTTTCCTGTCGCTTTTGAAAACTATTGGAAATTTGATCTCCCGAATGCATAAACTAGATTCACTTTCCTACCAGAAAAGTTACTGTTGTTACTGTTAGGAAATGAAACCTTATAAAAAATTATTTCTGTTCTACCATCTATCAAGTGTACTTATACTTTCAATTGAACAAACAATTGTATCTAAGATAGACTAGACTACACTTCAATCATCGAAGAATTTGCTTCCAATAAAGCCAGAAAAGTTAAATTTGTTTAAGAAATATAATGTACTAAATTCTATTTAATTTGAAGTATTCTTTGTATAATTATTTAATTTATTTTCATTTTTTATATAATTCTTGTTTATGTGGTACTGTTTTCATGAATTTGTTATTAAAGTCACACCAAAGTAGGTAACATATACATTAATTAACTTCGTTATTTTTATTTTGAATTTGAAATATTCTTAAAATGTTGTTATTTCAATGATTAAAATAATAAAATTAACTCTTAAGCTTTAAGGGAAACATTAATTATGCTTATAGGTAAATAAGTTAACATTTAGTTTTTTTTTTTTAGAGAGGGGGGCGCAAATTTGAAATTTTTATTTCGCCAGGAGCACCGCTATTGATCAGCCCGGCTCTGCCAATTATAACAATTTAAATGTTAGGAAAGATATTAATAATGGTTCATTCAGTCATCCATTCAAATATCATAAGTACATCACTTCCTTAAAATGTCGATGTCATGTCCATGTGTCTCCACTTATCTTGTCTATAGTAGTAAACATGATCGGCGGGTAAGGGGCGCCTACAACAACTGTTAGTTCAAATTAAAAAATCAATATTATTTTAAGCCAAGAAGACAATGGGCTCTTCACATACGTGAGCCTTGGGGATATGCCCCTCCCCTTAATCGGGGCTTTCATATAGTATACATCCTAAAGCAGACAATTTCCTTACTCAGTATCCAATGTGATTATATTATATTATTATGCCTTACATTATAACTTGTTAGCTGTTATGACTACACAATACATTTTATAATTCTGTAGTATAAGTTATTATAATTATATATTTTATAAATTTGTTTATTAAACTATGAATATTAATTTATTGTTACAAAAAAATTAATAAAACATCAGTTGGCGCTAAGTTATATGCATATACATTATATCGTTCTGTTTTATTTATGTTGTTTAAATCATTTGTTTTAAATAAAACCATCTTTGACTCAATGATTAATTTAAATGTTTTAGACATCCCAAACCGTGTTTTAACTTTTTATTTAAAAAACTTATAACTAATAACTTATTTATGTAATTTTATACCATATTATGAAAATATTTTATAAAATGTTCTTGAGAATTGTACATTTGTACCTATATTATATTAGTATTTATTTTTATAAACATGCAATATTATTCATCATTAATGTAATTATTCCTAAAGTATGTCTGTATGTGGTAGTGTGAATGTGCTGTATGGTATATTTATATTTAATTAAGTTATTTTTATTGAACAAATCTGGTTAACGGAACAAGAATTTAATTTAATAACGTTCTTAAACTCCTATTTTAGTAAATGTTTATGCAATATGCAATATCATCAATAATAATTGTATTATATTTATTATTTAATTGACTTGTTATTAATTAAGTTAATATGAATAAAAATCAGCCAAGTTAAAAATTAAGTTGGAATAGTTGAAATTTACTTAAGACTTAACTTTTTAATTTGTTTACATCCAGGCTTGTCATTATGATTGGTTATTATGACTATTTAAACATTTTCATTACCTGTAATTTTAATTGTCTGTCAACTATACTAATATTTGTTGTTTCAGTATTAAGTTAATTTCTAAATAATAGTCAAAATATATGAACTAATAGTATTACCTAACATTTTATTATGAAAACAAAATCACACATTAGTACAATAAATTAATGTGATCGTTGATTTGTTGGATTAAATATTGTAAACTGTAATATTTAATGCTATAGCAGCACACAACTTTATAACTGCACAATATTGAACACAATTTTATTAAGATAAATTGTTATAAAAACACTGACTATGTTTCCTGCTGTTTGTTTTAACCCTATAATTACTTATTATTTAGATCGTCAAGATTACATTTTACTAATATGGACATTGTTCTTTAAGTTTAATTATTGTACTATAATAATATTATTTATTAGATATCTGATTACTGGTTGGATTTAGAAATGTATTATTATAAGTTATATCATCCCATATTCAAACTATCCATGTACACATAATATTAAAAATATTTCAAGTATTTGAAACTTTGAAAGAATATGACATAGCAATAAAATATAAATTTAAATTAGCAAATACATATGTAATAATGAAACATCCATAAGAAATAAAAAAAGGTTTCTTGTGTTACTTGATTTGACATTTAAGTATTTTACCTTACAATCATTTTATAGTTATTATTCAATTAAGGTTGGCTACATACATGAAAGTAAAGTAACAAAGGTCATTTTTATTTATTTATTTCTATTTCTTATATTATTGTATTATTGTATTGTATTATATAAATATAAATATATATTTATTAATTGTGTAACAAAAAAAAAGAAAAAAATCATGAGAAAAAACTATATATAATAATAATAATAATAATATATAAAAGTACATACATATGTTTACAGATAATATATGTTAATTAACTGTTAGCTGGCAGGCAGATAATATGTAGTATTAAAATATTTAAAAAAAAGTTTTGTTTCGCAGAGTGATTTTAATAAATTCTAGAAAATTGAGATTTACACCACAATGTGCAAAAGTGCGGAGGGAGGGTTCGCATACAAATCTATGTAATTGATTAATAACAGCGTGAAAGTGTGTTGTGTATGGGATAAAGGAGATTCATCGACAAGATGACAATAGGTTGTTGTCGAATTATTTTCTAGTTTTTTTTTCATCTGGTTGAGCACGGAGGTAATAGGAATGTTTTTGGTATGCTGGAGAAGGTTGTATGCGAATAACATTAATGATTATTATAATAATATAAAGAAACGGAATAAAAATAATAATAATAATAATAATAATAATAAAGAACAAACCACGACTGTTGCTGCTATGATGAAATAATTAATAATTAAAGGTAATAATAATAATAATAAAATATATAATATGTATATGTACACAAAATAAACGCGTTGAAAAAAATAATAATTTAAGACAGTAGTGGGTAGGGGTGAACTGGCGGTTAGCATGCCAATGGCACACTTCTCCTATTATATTTAAAAAAAAAATGTATTGTGGATTCAAAAATGTATTTCCCCAGCTTAAATTTTGTTTTAATTAGAAGTTGTAAATATATATATCATCTATCTTCGTCTGTGGCTCGGTTCTTCATCATCAGCAACGATAGTAAGTTGTCCACAAGCGTGCTGCAATGCTTACGATGACACCGTCATGTTATCATTAACAGCAACCACCCGACCCACCAGATGTGTCTGATGATTTAGAATCAATTGTTACTTTTCCGACCCCATCAGCCGCACCTCCTGGTCCTTGGCCATCTAATGGCCCAATACGGTTCTTGATCTCAGCAGCCATAGTTAAAAAAGCCAATTCCACATTAGTTGCCTGTTTAGCAGACGTTTCCAGGAACGGGATTTTTAGATGGTCAGCATATTCCTGTTTGAGCATATAAAAACATTCATGAATACCTTATGTTATTTTTGTACACTCATTAGTAGTCTTGTTATTTGTAAGCTTTTGTATTCATCAACAAAAGTTAGCTAGTATTTAATTATATATTATGACTATTATATGGTAGAACTGTAATTAACATCTATACTAACTTTGGCAGTTGCTTCATCCACAGCACGCTTGTCATGCAAATCACATTTGTTGCCCACAAGTAGTTTGTTGACATTATCACATGCATACCTAGCTATTTCTTCTAGCCACTGTTTCAGATTAGTGAATGTCTCCATATCTGTGCAATCGTACACAACAATGATGCCATGTGCTCCACGATAATACGATGAGGTGATTGTACGGAAACGTTCTTGCCCAGCAGTGTCCCACTAGATATAAAAAAATCAATTATATATTACTAATAGTTTGTCTTATAACAACAAAATAACTAAATATATAATAAATATATTAATAATTACTAATTAAAGTTTTGTATATTTTATTATACAAAGACATATTAGCATTTTTAATTCAATTACAATTTGAGCAACTATGTTATTGCGGGGCTTATATTATATCAGTAAAACAATGTGTGTATGCAGTGTTCAAAAGTGGGATATTTTTGTTTAGTAAAATACCCTACTAAAGTCTAAAAGTAGTTGAAGCATTTTTATGATATTATCAAATAAAAATGATTAAAAATGTGAATAAGACTCTTAAAGCTTTTTTTTGCATAAAAGATTGTGAAATAAAATAGTTTGAAACATGTAAAAATACCAATGGTAAAACTTATAAACTACAATGAAAAAATAGAATAGTTGCCTATTTTTTAGTACCTACAATTGTTCTTCGGTGTGAACTACTAAAGCTATTAACTGGACACGAAAAGAAAAACGGACTAAAGCTATGTGTACTCAACCAACAATTAATGCAGTTCGGTTAATCGAGTGTTTTTTCATTGTATTATACTAGTATTGATATTTACCTTTGTACAACTATTTTATTTTTATCAACTGTTACAAAATTAAAATGAACATTTATACTGAAAAATATGGTATTGTAAATAATATTTTAAACAATAAGTTGTAATACAATATGCACAGCTGTTAATCATTTAATCATATAAGAATGTAAAATATATAAATTACTTAGGTATGTTACAGAAACTTATAAATACCTTATGATAGGTAAATTGCCAGGTATTATTATTAAAGAAATATAAAGTTTTTTTTATAATAAATTATCATTGACCTATTATTATTATTATTACATATGACACATACTGATATAATATTTAAATAATAATAAAAAAAAAAAATTCAAGGTTGTTACGTTTTTAGTATAATGTGGTACTTAGATCATTTAAAGTCATTGTTTTATCAATCTTGATTTACTGAATCGTAATAGATAATTCAATTCACAGTTATGATTAAAAAGAATATTTATATAATATACTAAAAATAATACTCACAATCTGAAGCTTCACAGTCTTATTGTCCAGTTTGATGGTGCGGATTTTCTGTGCATATACAAGTATATATATATTATTGTCATAAAAAAGTAATTATTAGCTATCAATTGTAAGTAAACTAGGTATGACAAAATAGTGGAATATTGTTACACAGTATACATAATTTCTGGTAAGTTAATATTTCAAGACTTCGGCATACATTACATAGAGAATAGGCTTAACAGTTCAGTGGCATATCAAAAAGTGTAAATATGTACATGCCACAAACAAGTAGGCTCTGGTTGCCAGCCATTGTGTGTGCTAGATATAATTGAACTTACGAAATCCACGCCAATGGTGCTAATGTACGAATCGGTGTATGTGTCGTCAGCAAATCGCAAGAGTAAGCATGACTTGCCAACGCCCGAATCACCAATCAGCAGCAGCTTGAACAAGTAATCGCTAAAAACACAAATGGACACATCATCAGCAACAACATGATCACGATGTCGAACACGACATTGAAGGGGGTCGTGTGGCAGAACATAGTGTACAGACAAAATCACATCCCAGAGATTGTGTTTAACGCGAGATACTTACTAATCTGGACTCATGTTTTCGAGTTTTGTTGGCAAGTTTTTCAAAGATGACGACGACTACGACGACGATTTCTTGTGGCAGTAGCTTTAGGGGCGTTCGCGTAGATACGACAACGACGACGAGTGATAACAAACCGACTGCTGCGGAATGTATATTGAAATATTTATTGCCGTGTACTTGATTAAGTGCTTATAATAATACCTACGTTTTGAGCCGAAACGGAACGAGAACGGTCACAAGCGTCGTGTGTGTGTGATATGCGCCGTGAAAACGGGTCGTCGGGATGCGGAAACACAATAAGTGCGATGTCGTGTGCACTGTGTAAAGACGCAATTGTTACAGCGACGACGGTGACTATGGCAGTATGGCGCAATGGGCGGGTGTATGTGTGTATTTTTTGTCTCTCTTTATTTCTCCCGTTTGATAAAACGTCGATGATACACAGACACGGCGGCAGACGGTCCCGACACACACGTCACACAATAACGAAGCTGAAGGGCAGGCGGGGAGGTGGTGGTGTAGGTGACTGGCGGTGGCGGAGGGGCGCCGATGACGACGACGCTTGAACAAATATGGCCGACGGACACGACGGCTCTCTTTCGAGTGTCATGCACGTAACCGCACACCCCGGTCCCCGGGACGCCGCCCATCTACCGAAGCTGGCCGACCGACGCGATAACGGCGGCTACAGTCACCGACAGCACGTATGTATGTGCTACGTCATCGCTGTACCGGCTTGGAGGTGACGCTACGCCGCAACAGACGCTGGCCAACGGTACCGTTTACCGATACGCTCCGTGACGCACCGGAACACGTCGTCGGTGACGGATCTGCCGGCGACACCCGACCGGTGTGCGTGTGATGGAGGTATAATGATATTTTTGGTAACATTACAATAATTTTTGTTTCATCGAATCAAATCGTTCCGGTATAAAATGTCGTTTACCATGTCATGGTTGTATAGACAACATCGATATATTTACACTTTAAACACGTATAGTATAAATAAATATTTTTTGGCGACACACACATTACGGCGGTAATACATGAAAAACTAGTGTCGCCACTTACCGGTTTAAAACCCGTGTACCGGATTGTAGAGGTTTAATTTAAATATTAGTACGATTCACAACACTGGCCGGCGGCCATAAACGACGAATCTCCGGACATTTTCCGTCCGACTGTTTTTGGCATAGGACATCTTACGCCTATTGTTTATAAAGTTTTCTATATTAAATATAGTAATATACCTATGTTTAATATTATTTATTATTAAATCATTATTTTCCTTACTGTCTAAATTTAATTAAATACAGAATAAATTTCCAAAAATGTTCATAAGTATAATAAATTATTGGTGTATATTTTTGACCATTGTCTACTTGAAACAGTAGAAATAATAATAATTGCTTTTAAAAAAATAAAAAAATTATAAGTAATGTTTAAAACAAGTATTATAAGTTATAATACAAATAGGTATCTATTCGAAGCATACAAAATTACTTAATGTTTAAAATAATTAATTTTAAATGTTTTTAATAAATATAATACCTAAATGAAATATAAATAATAATTTTTAAAAATGCAATAATTTAATTGGGCAAAGTTTGCAAGTAACAAAAGAGGAGTAATTGTACTTGTACATTTTATTTTAATTCTTGAAACTGAAAATAAACAATTTGAAAATGTAATTCAAATTTGTTTTGAAGATTTTAAAATAGCTAACTTATAAAATATTACACAAATGTATTCTAAGTGATGGCTTACACTCAAATTGATCGAATTGCACGGTATATAAAAATATGGACGTCGATTCAAATCCACTGCAAAATATAACACACTGAAACAATAAGGACGAATTATCTGAATTAGAATAAAAAAGTCAAAGAAAAGGGTGTTTGGTAAAACAGAAATGTGCTAGACTTTTTGTAGATTTATAAATAATTATAATATATTTCGATTTTCGAACATTGCCCTAACGAGTTAGGTTAGGTTATGTGATTTCACCATCATTCTTAACTGGTTAAAATATGTAAATGTATAAAAAAAATCAAAATTCGTTATAGCTTTAACTAAATTGAAAAGTAGTCCAGATTAATTTGTTCCAAACTTCAGCAGTATCTACAAAGAATTTAACAAAATCCTTCGAAACCAGTCACTCAAGATGTTGTTTTTGCACAGATGGCTTGTTCTTCGAACGAAAATCAAAAAGGATCCAACGACTCAAACCCACACACATAAAGAAAAATGAACTGTCGATATCTGAAGGTGATGACAGCATTTACAAAATTAATTGAATGAGAGATTGGGAATTGAGATTGGATAGACTTGAAAATAACGAGCCAAGAACTAAAGCTCAAAAAAAGACTAAATGAGTAGAACTCTTCTAATCATAATTCATAACATAGAACGCTAACTGACTTGTACAACGCAAACAAAAAGTTTAACATCTTATGAATTTAAATTATTGTAATGCTCAAGAGTTTACATGGCTATACTGAATCATTCTCGCTCGCTTGGGGACATACATGTACATCAGTATTTTTACGAACATCAAAGGGATGTACCTACTACCTAGTCACTTTACAATACGCTACTAGAGTATGACTACTGACTACTATCGATCAGTGGCGCGTTACACAGTGGTGGCACCAGAACTTACGTATGGGCCAATAAGCTTGGGCCACTGATTTATAAGAAGGGACAGTGGCCAGTGGCCATAGTGTATTCATAGTTTTATCACTACATATTTAAATTGTATTTGAATTTGTGTGTGTGTGTGTGTGTGTGTGAGAGAGAGAGAGAGAGAGAGAGTGTACGAATTAGTAAACTATCAGCATATTTATTCATCGATTGTATCATGCATAAATTATTAGTATAATGTACCTATATATAATTAAATACACTTAAGATAAGATTGTTGAAATTAGTAAATTAGGCCCAGAATTAATTTATATAATTCTAGATTATTATTATCTTTCGACCAAATTATCGTGATATGAAATATGAATATTTTAATGACTGTTTACTCATAATATATTGCCTAAGATAATAAAATATATTGTATATTCGTAAAACACTTACTTTTTCAAACATGAAACCACTTTTGTTACAAATAATTACATTATAAAATTACTTCAGCCAATTATTAATTATTACCTACAATTCATATGTATGTCACTCCTCTAGAAATTAGCTAGTTATATGCGTTTATTTTTTATTTTATAATATACCAACTACCTAGGTAGGTACCTACGTAATAAGTTGTTAGGTACCTAATAATAAAACTAAAATGTAAATTATTATTTTTGGTTGTTTTCTAATCAAATAGCAACTGATAATTAGCTTAGTCTTTAGTAGTTTATTTCGAAAATTATTGTTGGCTATTAAAACTGGTAATCGAAAACTTGCTTATTTGTCGTACGTGTGTAAGACGGAGACAATACGATCCGGGTATGACGTCTTTTAAGATGTAAATTGTAAATTCAAATGTTTCCAGATAATTTATCATTGTTTTTTGAACTAATATAATTTATAAATTAGGATTGTTATTTGCCAGTTATAATCAAGATGTCTCTATTTATATTTATTTAATGGTCTAGGGACTAAGACTAACTTTTAATTTTAAAATATCTATTAAGCTATTAAGATTGTTGTAGCAGCATAAACGTATATTATATGTTCACTGTACACTGCTGCAGTAGACTATAATTAATGTAAAATGTACGATGTGTCGATGCGAGTATTTAGATAAAATTATATATGTATATAATATACATATATGTAATCATTGATTATAAATAGGTTATATTACATTTTATAACACTAATGAATAATGATTAATTGTGTATAATAATCGTATATATATATAGTTCCTCAGCTAGGAGTGATGTAAAATTATCTTTTAAGTCAAATAAAATAATTGTTTTAATCTAGGGTCAAATCATTTTGACAACATAAATCAATAATTTTTTATACCTACTTAAAAAAATGTAATTGTAATGATATAAAAACAACATTCACTGAAAAAAAATGATTCATTTAAAATGTTATTAATTGTTTGGTTTTATAAAATAATAATATTATACCTATACGATATAATATACTAATAACTAAGAAGCCCTTACTTGGCGGCGCTATTGTTATAACCACAATATTTCATACTGATTTCCTAATAGTACACATAATATTATTATAAAAGGGCGATGCTTAAAATAAATATAATATTATAATATGTAAAGTGCACAGTAAATAAAATAATAGCTATTTATAGCATATACCCCTACCTCCATAATAGTCCACATTATTTTGTACGTAGGTATGTATTTGTGTCAACTGTTCAAGAGCGCCCCTATCTGTCAAAATCTAGATGGGTCATAGGTCGTGACTTGAGAATGAAAAATACAATATTACCTACCAATTAAACTTTCATGGGTCTCGATTGTTTAGGTTTCTTACATAATATCATATAAAACATATTATGTTATTTTATAAGAGTAAAAAATGAGGACAGATTTTCAAGAAAATATATTTTTGCATTTTGAAAATATTCCAGAGGTTTGAGCATATTTAATTTTTTAACTTATCAATCTTTGAATATTATATAAATTGTGAGAAAATGAAATATGAAATTATTTCGGAATCTTATTAATACTGAATAAATATAAATATAAAATATAAATAGAGACATCTTGATAATAACTGGCAAATAACAATCCTAATTTATAAATTACATTAGTTCAAAAAACAATGATACATTTTTTGGAAACATTTGAATTTACATCTAAAAAGACGTTACACCCGGATCGTATTTCTCCGTCTTACACACGTACGACAAAGCAAGTTTTCGTTTACCAGTTTTAATAGCCAACAATAATTTTCGAAATAAACTACTAAAGACTAAGCTAATAATCAGTTGCTATTTGATTAGAAAACAACCAAAAATAATAATTTACATTTTAGTTTTATTATTACCTAAAAACTTATTACGCAGGTACCTAGGTAGTTCAGTAGTTGGTATATTGTAAAATAAAAAATAAACGCATATTATCATATATTATCATTGTATTGACTCTTAGTATGATATTATTTATGGTTTGTTCTTCAAATTATAATATAGGTGTTTGTTTAACTGGAGTTGGAGTAATCAATTTGTAATGTCCTTATACAGTTATACGACTTATTTATTTATGAATAAAATGAGGATTTTGATGCTCTAAAAACTTAAATCTATACTAAATACACCTTAAGAGAATATATTATTATTAAATATTATACCTATCTGTACTACTGCTATTAATTCTAAAATAACATTTTTTCAATCTGATTCTCTCAATCAAACATTTTTCATATGGTAGGAGGTGGCCACCATATATTATGTGTATTATATATATATATTATAAATTAACAAAGTAATTTAATATAACTTTGAAGTTTGTTTTAAATTTGACACAACTTGAAACATGCTTCGGAAAAAAGAAATAAAAATGTCCACCATGCAAAAAAGTAAAACTTAAGAAATTACTACGATTAAAAATTGCAATTTTTTAGATAACTACATTTTGTAAAAAAAAGTATTTTCAAAAATATTACAATTTTTGAAAATAATTAGTGTCACCTTATACAAGTCGTGAGCACTTAAGTGAACTAGTTCACTCTAACCTACACTTTTTAACTACTTACATAACACATTGAAATCATTTATTGTAAATAGCAAATGCCGAATGGAATTTTGTGGAACTAAGTCTCCTAACCTATCATTACCCCGGCGAGCGGTTCCACTATTATTATATTATGTTCATTCATAGTTATTAGGCACCGTAGTCCGTTGGGGCAGGGCTTCGCCAGCCTCCACGCCGGTGGTGGAGGTGACGCTCCTGCGCTAACAGTGATTACACGACGATTACGACAATATAATAAATTATAACAAAAAACGCTACGCCGCGCCGCCGTCGCGTCCGCGAGTCGTAAACCGCAAAACAGCAGCGTGTTGTGCTGTGCGTTTGTGCGTTCGTGTGCGTGTTTGTGTGTGTGCGCGTTCGTTGGTGTGCGCGTGCGTGTGTGTGCGTCTTGCTTGTGTGTGTGTGAGTGTTTGTGTGTGTGTGTGTGTGTGTGTGTGTATGTTTGTGTGTGTTTGTGTGTGTGTGAAAAGAATAACAACACCGACGTCGTACGTACGTGTTTGTTTGGTCGTCGCTGTTTGTTTATTTACAATCGTGAATTGTTTGTGTTTTTGTTGTCCGACATAACAGCGTAAATTGACCCCGCTCGATCAGCGGTATTCGCACGTCAATACCGCCTAAACATAATACCGGCCGGCGGCGTCGGCGTTGTCGGTTCGCAATACACGACAGTAAGATGCCCTAAGCGGCGTCTGCGGCTTAGTGCAGCCAGTACATACTTTCAATTGACTTAGCAAACAGTAACACCAGTCCGACTTCGAATTCCCGTTCTGGACGAAAAGTGATTTCGTGTGTCAACGAGTAGTCGAATACGTTTCGTGTCACAACTACGCCACTCTCATGGCGGCCATCAACAGTGGCAGTAATAACAGCAATAGCAACAACACGAGTGCTGGTGGCAGCAACATGTACCGCGTTGGAGGTGAGTGTCGTAATATTTGCGTAAACACATCGTCTCCATGGATTATGGCGATGTGTGATGTTCTCGCATCCAGTCTTAGTTGTTTTCTATCTCGATTATTTATGAAATTATTTACCTTAGGATACTTTAGTAATATATTATATTTAGATGCCATATACAAAAGTGATAGGTACCAATTTGTGAGCAAATTACGGGTGTTGTAAGTGTATGGCGGTATAAACCATATAGGTGTTTGTGTGTATGTTCTGTTGTTTACAAACACTTATTTTTTGTAGATTATGTATACTTTGAGGCTCAACAGCAGCAACAGCAGCAGCAGCAGCAACAATCTATGCATCACCAGCAGCAGCCGTTCCAAATACGTAGAATCGAAGAGCTCAATAAGACTGCTGGTGGTAATGTTGAAGCCAAAGTAATGTGTTTCTATAGACGACGCGACCTGCCAGCTCAACTTGTTGCGCTGGCTGATAAACACCAACAACACCAGCAGCAGCAGCAACTATCTTTGACTTTATCATTATCTCCTGGTGGAAGTAGCACTACTAAAGGTGGTGGTAAGCAGTCATCTACAATCAAATCTTCTCCAGTCACTGATAAAGATGCTAATACGGATAAAAAAGAACAAGACACTAGTGCTGGTGGGGCCCTACCAATGATAAAAAATGAGCTGCAGAACGAAGAACAAACTGCCAGTAAAATAGAAACATCTGAAATTAATGAAACTGTGAAAGAGGAACAGCAACAACAGCCAGATGTTGAGATGTCAGAAGATACAGAAACTAATTCTGCTGTAACCGCTGTTGTCAAAAGTGGAGATGCTCGAGTAGACGGTGATGATGTCGAAACCAACGATAAATGTAAATATATTTTATATTGTTGTGCATTTCAGGGATTAAAATACTGTGTATGAACATTAATTATTGTGTGTAATAGCTTCAGATATTGGAAAAGATGAAGATAAGACAACACAAGGTACACAACCACAACAAGACTGGTGGCGTGGGGAACAGCTTAAACAACGGGAATTGTTTTTAAGCAGGCAAGTAGAAACATTGGCGGCAACGCATATCCGTGGAAAGTGTACAGTAACATTATACAACGAGACTGAGTCATTGGACAGTTACTTAGAAAGAGAGGTAAGTACAGAAAACAAAAAACTCTTAGGAATGTGTCATCGGCTTGGATATCATTAAAATGATATAAACTAAATATTAATGTTTATATTAAAACTTTTAAACTATTATATTCGAGTACATTTTGATGATATGAGTACATCAATTATACATTTTTAAGGTTGTAGGTATGTTGTACTAAAAGTGGTGAGGTATCCATATTGATTTGGATATAGGTTAGTGGTAAAAGAATATTTTTAATATACTCAAATATTATTATAATATAACAGTGATTAAAGTTGAAACAAATCATGTTTACATTCTCAGTAGTATTAAGTACTATTTTCAATCATAGATTTCTGATATTTAAATTGTTCAAAACTTCTGTACCAATTATATTAAATTGTAAAATGAAATAAACACTGTTCACTTTGAATTATGTTATAATATTTAATTAGTTAGTATTAAATGTCGGCTTAAAGCAAAAACTAATGAACAGCGGAATTTCGATTTTTTCATAGCGCTATCTAGTGTATAAATTTAAACTATTATTTATGTAGAGGCACTAAACGTCGAAATCACCATGAAAACATGTGTATATTTAACTTTTTCAGTACTCACTAATGGTTTTTATCATACAATTAAATTATTTAAAACGTCTTTTACCAACAATTGCCATTTTACTGTTAATAAGTTTTTGTTTTAAGCCGACGTAAATCTTAACGCAATATAGAATTTCACCTCAATTTTTAAAACAACACTTACCATTCACTAGTTCTGGGTTGCATGAACAATCACTAAACATTTAACGAATCAAGTTAATGATAATAATAAGTTAAGCTAATGATCCCTCAAACATGGTTTAGATGCCCATGATTGGTCCATTTTAATTTTATTGGGCTATTAAATTAATAATTTTTTCATGCAACCTGGCATAGCTGGTTTAAAAAAAAATAAAATAAAAACGATGTGTGTGACATAGTAGAATATTAATTGTTTTACAAAGTTTGAGGGTTTAATATTATTCATGACTAATGACTGTCTTTATGGTTTCAACCCTTTTTACAAATAATTCCATAGCTTTCAATCATATTTAACAATTTTGTATATTACCTTCTTAAATAAATCAATCAATTTTACTCCTAACAGGATACGTTCTTTTATTGTCTGGTATTTGATCCCGTCCAGAAGACGTTGTTGGCCGACAAGGGAGAAATCCGTGTTGGCCATAAATATCAGGCTGAAGTACCGCCAAAAGCGCTCTTTAACCGTGGTAGTAGTGATGTAAATTCAAAAGATTCGTCAGCAACATCGATAAAAGGAGAAATAGTAAAAGAAGAACACACTACTGATGGTGATGGAGAAGAGCCAATGGTAACAGAATGTAGTCGAGACGACGACGATGATGATGATAAAAATGTTGATGCAAAATCCTCTACTGCAGTGACTACTGTGACAGCAATAGGAACCGTAACAGCAGTGACAGTGGAAAGCGATTCTGATCTTGAGACTTTGATATGGACATGTAGGCCGCAGTGGAATCGTTTGACCGATAGACAAATAGATCAGTTTTTGGTCGTTTCTCGATCGCTGGGCACATTTGCTCGGGCCTTAGATTGCACTAGTTCAGTGAAACAGCCTTCTCTACATATGTCAGCGGCTGCTGCGTCACGGGACATCACATTGGTGAGTTTTTTGTAACATGTCAAAATTGCTTAATGATAACTAATATAATTTGTTAATTATTTCTCTTCAATTGTTGGATTTATTCAAACACATATGTACTTAAAATAATTAAAATGTGGAACAAATCTTTTCTTTTTGTCATAAAAAAATCTTTTAACAATTTCTTAAAATTTATAATTTTATTGTTAATGTTTAGTAAACAAATATTGCCTATCTTTATTTCACAAAGCTTACAAAAAAAAAAAAAAATAATACTTTTCTATACTCCTATTATATATATATTATATATATATATATATATATTGGTCGACTCGGTAAAAATTAGTACTGTAAACTATCAAAATGTATTTACTTAAATGAAATGTGGAAGAGCGTACAAGTTTGTTATTTCTCAAAATAAATTTAAATCTTACTTTGAACATTCTACTAATTATTAAAGAATATTATAATGCAACAAGTCCCAAACCCTAGTAATTAATTATATTGTATAATATTATGTTTGTTTTAACTTGACTAGTGTTCTATTAACTATTACGTTAGTGTTGTATTGCCTATTAATACGTGTATTTTGTTATTCAAACAACAGTTTCATGCAATGGACACACTGCATAGGCATGGTTATGATCTGGGCACTGCCACCTGTTCTCTAGTGCCTAGTACAGGACCTGTATTGTGCCGTGATGAAATGGAAGAATGGTCAGCGTCTGAAGCGAATTTGTTTGAGGAAGCGTTGGAGAAGTATGGAAAGGACTTTGGTGACATACGTCATGATTTTGTTAGTATATCATACTTTTATTGCCTCTATTTCAATTCTAGTAGTTATTGCTTATATTTACTGTAGTACTTAATATTGGGAGGAGTATCAATATTAATCAATTTATATGAACATGGTATTACAGCTACCATGGAAAACACACAAAAACATAGTCGAGTACTATTACATGTGGAAGACCACTGACAGGTACGTGCAGCAGAAGCGTGTTAAGGCCGTAGAGCAAGAATCAAAGTTGAAACAAGTGTACATACCTTCTTAGTGAGTATTTGTCGTAATTTAGATTGTTTACTATGTCTTAGGGTAGAGTAAGTTGTTAAAACCTTAAATATTAGTGGATTGCACAGCTGTAAGTGGTACTATCTACAAATATGGTGGATATCATCGTATTTCATTGTTGCTTGTTGAGTTATTTCTTGACATCATACCTTTGACACATCATATTAGTGCATATTAAGCATCCACTCAAAATGTTTGTTCAGCAGGACTTAAAAATTGTCCTATTTTTCCTTTACACCATTACCAGTAATTTAACTTCCATGAAATTGACAGTCAACAAAAATAATAATGATTTTTTATTCTTGTTGTCAATCAGGGGTGACCGTGTACACTAACTAACCTTACTGCCAGTATAAAAATCTAAAAATAATTTTTTATCAATTTAATCAATCTGCGATTTCCATAATTGTTAACATGTATAACTATTAATCTCTGTCTAACGTAATGATGAAATTAGAAAAAAAAACATTACAATATTGTTTTGTATTTGTGACAAAAAGTATACTATGATAATGTATAATCCAATGTAAAAAATAGTCTTGGAGAGCTTCAGCTAGCCTCCCCCCAACTTTGAGTATTTAACTGATATATACAACAATGGTTTCATGATTCTCAATTTTTTCTCCCGTTTAGTAATGGAACTAGTGGTGGAAAGCAGCAGTCTATAACATCAGGTGTAACAATAAAATCTTCACAGCAGCAGCAACTCGTAAATGGTAACTCAGCAGCTGTGGAACTGTATTCCCCCAAAAATGGTAGCAGTGGATTATCTATTACAGGGGAAGGACCATTACAACCTGGATTGTGTGATCTATGTGATGGTAAGAACGCATTTATATAGAATATATTTTTGTATATATACTAATACATTCAATAATTACAAAATAAATAATCATTGTGTAACTTAATAACTATGAAAATAGTTGTATCCTCGCAACAATGGTATCCTAACAACATAGGAGCCACAACCGGAACCACATCAATATCCTATCATCAACAAAATGGAGGATTGTCTTCATTATGTCACGAGTGCTGGACACATTGGAAAAAATATGGAGGTCCTAGAACTGCTACTTCCGATAAAAAAGTTATTGCAGCAGCAAGAGGAGAAAGCGTGTCTGGAGACGAAGGTAGTAATAACGACATATCTAAAGTTTTATGCTTAGTACTTCTTTTGAGTCAAATCTCTGAAAAGTACTCAATAAGTATAAATACTTGACTCATTCTATATATTATGTTACGGTAAATTTTGATGTGAGATACTACCAAAATTATTTCTATTTTTATAAGTTATTAAAATTCAATATTTAGTTATTATGAATACGCAATTATTTATGGTAGTATACTGTAATATTGAGTAATAAGTGAATAACAACTTAAGCTTAGATTTACTGTAACATATAATATACATGTATTACGCCAGGTACATTTTAAATTAAATCTTTCACGTGGTTGTCATTACAAGATGTAAAGGTGTATATTATTAATATAAAAAAATTATTAATTTATAATTCTCAGGCTTGATATGCAGCTCAGTGATGGCCCCCGCATAGTCGAGGTCAAAATGAGTGATGCTGAATTTTCTTATTCAAAATATTTAGGTACACTGCTTTTGTTAATTTTTCCATTTTTCGGTGAATCGCTTACTCGATATGAAAACTACTTCAGAGGCCCCATTTTAATTTTTGATATAAAATAAATCAGTTAAATTTTTACTTGCATTTTATCTTTGAGTTGTTTTTGTCCTGACTTTACCATTTATGTTTATTCTCTTCTGTGAAAGTTCTGTAATTATATTTTTTACTTTTTGTTTTCTAAATTGAGGATGTTTTTGTCTTAAGTTATCAATAAGTCAATAAAATAAATTATAAACATCTCTTTTTAATAAAATTTTAACAAATATTAAATTATATTTCGATACCAAATGTTTGTAAACAGATCGACCACATTCAAATGCGTCATCCAGTTCCCTGGCAGCAGCAATGAACTTGAATGTATCCGTTGGTGGTGGTAGATCTTCGTCCCATGGACCAACCATGTCGACTCCACCCCATCACCACCATCACCTTATGCACTTGGGTGGTAGTGGAAGTAGTCACCATAGCAGTTATCACCATCAGTCGCAGCACCACCACCATCAACAGCTTCACCATCAACAGCAGCAGCAGCAGCAGCAACAACAACAACAACAACAACAACAACAACAACAACAACATCTACAGCAACAACAACAACAGCAACATCAATCGGCAGCGTCATCACCAGGTGGTGGTGGTCTATTACTACATCAACCACATATTAACTCGTCTGGATCAACAACAACTGCTCATAGGTGCACTATTATTGGGTGCCAAGCAGCTCCATTCAAGAGTAAGTCTCAGCTGTTACGGCATTATAGTACAGCCCATGGCATCGGGATAAATTCCAACAGCAGCAGTAGTCCTAGTGCCATCATCACGTCAATTGGTGGTAGCAGTAGGTCTTCTGGTAGTGCTGGTATTGATGGTGGTGGAAGTGGAAAATTATCCCCGCAGCCGCCACAGCAGCAGCAGGCCGTTTCTGGTGCAGGACTTCACCACAATTCTGGAGGACCTTTAAACTTGAACAGTAGTAATTCGATCCAACACTCAATGGGAAGTAGCTCTGCCAACCAAGTAATTAATCTCATTGCATCGTCGTCTTCTTCACCACAACAGCAGCCCAACAACCTATCCACAAGTGCTGGAGGCATAACAACAACTGCAGTAATTGCAACAGGAGGAGTAGCTACTGCCACTGGGCGGCCGGTTATGAAGACAAGAACAGCTTTTTATTTGAGATGCACATCATTGGCAAAAGCAAGTAGGCGCCGGTCTGCGCAACAAGCTGCCGCTGCTCTGTTACAGCAACAGCATCACCAGAAAAAAGCTTCGTCTAGTGGAACACAAACAGCATCGGCATTATCGCCAATAGCTTCAGCTATGGTTCAGCCTGGATGCTTAGCCCGTCCTAGGAATGTAGCTCGTAGACCATTCATCTGTGTTCCACAAACAGCACACTCTTACAAACATGAATGTGAGTATATTGTAAGATACTAATAGCATTTTGTTAAATTTCATTAATGTCTCTAATATAACTTAGGTATATCAATGGTGTAGAGTGATTTTAAAGCCCTGTCCAGATCAAAGAAAAATTTGTTGTTGACAATGTTTTTGAATTTCCGTCATAAGTTGTAACATAGTATTTTTCGATGACATTATCTAAAACATGTTCCTTGGTCTGGAACGGGCTTAATGCCTGGGAAAATTTAAAGGTCAATAGGAATTGGCATAATAACTTATTTATTTAAATTTCATGTACCTAGTTGTTTTATTTTAAATTTGATACATACAGTTATCTAGACTAAAGTGGGAAGACAAGGTGTGGACATTTATCTCTATTAATTCTAGTTTGGTATTACTTTTTTTTTTAACTGTAATTAATTATATACTTAATTTATATACTTGAGTGCTAGACCCAGTGTTTTGATAGAAGTTTGTAGAGATCAATGGATATTGAGAATTTACCTGATGTTTTTAAAAACAAACTTAGTTTAACATTTTTAATTTTAATCCAATACTAGGAGTATATCAATCTCATAGTCTATTTTACAATACATTTGCAATATTTTTCCTTACTAAATATACTGGGATATATCGGTTTATGTATGCGTAATTTGGAATATGATACTTTTTAGGTATGCTGTCAATGCAACATGCTCCAGTTCATGAACTAAGAGCTTACTTGAGGGCTGCTGCTGTTAAGGCACATGCCCGCCGACCTGGAGTTACTCGAGTAGCCAATGCATTAATAGCAGCTAGGAGAGGTCGCGGGGGAATGAATTCAGCAACCGCTGCTGATATAGCTGTGCCAGATTGGCTGTCTCTGCCGTCCCAGCAGCACCAGCATCAGTCATCTCATCATCATGTTTCGTCTTCATCAAAGCATGGAAAACATTCTTCAAGATCATCAACGGGTGGACGCGTCGCCTTCCCCAAACCACCAAAAGCACCAGGTCAGTATTAATTGAAGTTCACCCGAAGTTCATAATATCTTGGTTGACATAAATAAAGATAAATGTAACATGTATTATGTGGGATTTTGAAGATAAAAATACTGTTTAAATTTTTAAATTTAAATTTATTAAAATCCAATCAGATAACACTTATTAAATATTGGAAATTGTTTAAAAAGTTATTGTAATAAAAAGAAAGTGAAGGAGCAACCAAGAATCGTTTTAAAACAAGTTTATTTACAACAGGTAAATAATCAAAAACATTAACTGTTTTCCTCCTTATAATGTAAATAACTAAAATAATAAGAATAAAAATAACAATAATAAAAATAAAAAATACACAATTTATTGTTATAATTGTTTTCCTTCAAATGTAACTTATCTAGATGATTCTAGTAATGTTTAGGATCTTGTGTTCTTTATAATCTTATCATCTAAAGAGTTATCAATCAGTTGAATTAAAGTTAATTTAACTAATTTCTATCAGTTTTTCTTCCCGAATCTTCCATATTATATTTGCACAAAATTAATGACATAAGAGTTTATACAATCTTAATATTTACACAAGTGTGAAAAGCAGTAATCATATTTAGAGAATACTCCTATGTGCACTAGGATATATTTTATTTTTAAATCAATTTTTATTACTAGTGAATTAACTTATTTACAAATTGTATACATACAACAAAGAAAAATATTCAATCACCTAAATAGTTTGAAAATGTATAGTATTATGTTGTATATCTTTATCTATATTTCAAGTGTCTTTGGAATAACTGTTTGAATAAATGTATGAACTATATGAACAATAGTTCCTATTAAATCATTGACTTAACTAAAAGTGAGGTTAGCAAACTTATATTAACTAACACTATTCATCAGCTGTTTAAATTTAAAAAGATCATTATTTTAGGCAATCTTAGAATATTTTTTTTGTTCAATCATTTTATTATCTTTTCCACTCCCGTGATGTATTGTTGTATACTCTATTCAGAATAAAAAAAGTAATGGTCGGTAACTGGTTATCGTTGGTGGCGGTCAAATGATTCTCCCACCAACACTGACACACTAGGCAAAGCTTCAGATCACACAAGTCGTCAGGTACATTTCTTATTTTGAATAGAGTCTTAATACAGATGTTTAAAGGTTCTCAAGAAACAAACAAGATAATATACAATTATTCTTCATGTATTATATTGTTATATATATTTAATAACATTAAAATTTTAAAACAATGCACTTAATAAAATAATCTCAACATCATTGTTAATGCCTTATACATTAAGTATACTTATTATATACCTTTCAACTGATTATGGTTAAGTATGAAATTCCTCAAATTTAACTAAATAAATTAATATTATTGACAGCTATTATAATTATCATACCTATAAAAATTCATATTGAAGTCTTATGATTTCTTTGACCTCCTAAATTGGGTAATATCTGTTTAATATTGTCAAAACAAGTAAAAATTAGCATAATATGTGTTATATAACAACAACCACAGAAGTACAGTACATAGTTTTTTGTGTAGTTTGAAATGTAGTTATTTCAAAGAATAAATAAAACAATGTACGTCATTATAATACCATTTTAATAATATGTTTGGATGCGTATTTGTAGATGGCAGTTTGCTATACGAACGAGTGCCTAATAAGCAGGAAGCTGCTGCGGCTGCCGCAGCTGCTGCTTCTGCAATGAACAATCCGTCTGCAGCAGCTGCAGCAGCAGCAGCTGCTGCTGCAGCTGTTGGATTGAATCCGGCTGCAGCAGCCGCAATACTAGGAGCTTTAGGGCCCCCGGGTTCAGTCAGTAGTGGTAATTCTACGGGGGCATCTGGTTCGTCTAATGATCAATCGGCCACGGGGTTTGATGTGGCAGCTGCGGCTGCTGCTCTCTACCAACAGCAGCAGCAACAACAGCAGCAGCAGCAACAACATCAACAACAACAACAACAACAACAACAACAACAACAACAACAACAACTACAACAAGGTTCTTCATTGTCGAGTAACAAGAGGCGGCTATACGAAACGGATAGTGGTGAGTGTCTTGAGTTTAGTGAACTAATTGCCTTATGCAGCGATAAAAATAGTAGTGAATTCGATGTATTGTTTTTGTGATTTCCGTTGGATTTGATTTCTTAGTTTTCATCTGTTATAAACTTAAATATATTATCCAAAATAAGTAAATTGTAGTGATCTAAACTTGCGGTTCTCAATATTTATTTTAATTCAAGGCACCCTTGTGTTAAAATCCCAAGGCACTCTCAATGCTGTAATATTATGTATACAAATTCCTTTATAACAGGGATGGCAAATCCATGGCACCCGAAAATTTAGAAATCGACGACACCACGGGAACTGCTTTCGCATAGCTTCCGCGAATATTATAGGACATATAATAACCTATAAACTAACCTCTTTATACTAATACATTAATTATACAATCAAATTATAGTATAACAAATTATAATATTTTTAATATTTTTTTCATGGCACGCTCTAAAAAAAAAAAGGTTATTACTAATTTTGGGCATGCAGTGTTCAAAAGGTTTGTCATCCCTGCTATATAATATCCATGATTTTGGGGCATATCTACAGCACACTGGTTGAGAGCCACTGATTTACTTTTCAACTTGGATTCTTCTGACTATGTAAACATGAAATCCAGAGTTCTTAGTTTGAGTGTTGATCTGTATTTGAATACCACCAGTCACCACTATTATCATTTTTATTTAATTTAATGGAAGAAATGTTTTTGAGCCTTTAAGGCCTTTTTTAATATAATATATATCTAATAAAATGTGATTCATTTGTGTTATTTCTAAAGAGAGATAATTTTTTATTATATGAGCGTGTTATAAAGTAGGAGTGTAGGAGGGGGATTATTTGTACACATTTTAATGTAATTATGCATGTTTTTTTTTGTGCAGCATCTATACAACAGCAACCACAACCACAAGCTGGGCCGCCGTCAAAACGTATGCATCGGCAGCAACATCACTCACAACAGCAGCAACAGCAGCAACAACAACAGCAATCCACTGGTCACCACCACCACAGCCAGCAACACCAACAGCCTTCATCAACATCACAAGGGGCTAGTGGAGCTGGTGGAGGTGCCGTAGATGGAATGCTGGCATCAATCGTGGCACATCAGCAACAGCAGCAACAACAGCGAGGTGGTACTTCAAGTGGAGGACCCTTACAATTGACTGCCTCTGGAAGTGGTGGTAAATCCAGTGGCTCAGCAGGCCACCACCAGTCGCAACAACAGCATCAGCAGCATAATCATTATAGGACACCATCAATGGCTCGGACCGGTAGGAAGCATGTTATATCATGGACAGATGCTCCGGATGACCTGTATTATAGATGCACCACATTGTCTAGGTATGATAACTATTATAGCCTCTGATCATGGCACAGGTTGTGCGGTATTGTAAAAACCGTTAGCTTAATTTTTCATATTTAGATGGTTGTTTATTCACTATTTATCATTCCCATTCTATTTTTTAAAAACCTAATAACAAGTTTTTTTATTATGTGTAGATCGCTGCGGAAAGCCAGGATGACAGGTAAGGAACTAAGGCGGTCAGCACGCAAGCCTTGGCAGCCGATCGCTGCACTTCTCGGTATATCATTCGCAATGCCGTCTGCCGCTGCGTCATCGTTAGCAACACCAATAGGAACAGCGGTGACCACAGGATCCCCAGCTCCATCAACCGGTAATACATCTGGGAATTCATCATCTATAGGGCCGGCTGCACCATTTGACATGTCCACTGGTGGTAGCGCTGGTGGTAACAATAGACCACCGTCTACCATGTCAAATCAGTCAGCGGCACCTATAGTTACACCATGCATTAGTGGAGCACTTTCAATGTCATCACGTACCAGTGGCGGAGGTAGTAGTCATCACTAAGTACCATCATTTTGTGTGGACTTAGATGCTATTGGTGGCAAACACTGTCTGAACGATAATTTAGAATTTCAATTTTTTTTTCATCATCGTACTATTTTATTTTTATACATTAACAATTTATAATCATATTAATTTTAATCCGAATCCTTACTGTAGGTTGAACCTAAATAATATGCTAAAATTATTTTTATTATTTTTTTTTTGTACTATTATTATTATTTTATTATTACACAAACTATGATTATCGAACTTTATTATTATTGATGACATAAACTTGTAACATTTTTAAATAATTAGGTGATTTTTATTTTTATTTTTTTGGCTACACTGAGTATTTATATTATAATTAAAATACATAATATGATTATTACTTCGATATCGACTTTATATTGTAATAAAAATAATGAAAAATATTATAGCTTTTAAGGTGATATTTTTACAAACAATATTAGTAGTCTAACAGCCTTAGTTTTTAGCTTAATGAATAGTTGCAATTGAAAAAAAAACAACTGTTGTATAATTGATTGTTTTTTTTATTGTAACAAATAATTTTCTTATGACTACACGCACATGCGATTTTTCTTTTTGTTTTATGTCTATTTACAAAATAATAAAACAATAAGACGCGACATATGAATAAACGATTATATATATATATATATATTATCATTTTACATAATATAATATATGTATGTATGTATGTATGTATGTACGCATGAATATGTATTTACAAAATATAATATTATTTTTTTATATTCATACATACATTTTCGCATATTCAGTACATATAGTATTTGACACAATAATAAAATAGTATACTCAGTTAGCCTTTAAGAAATGGCCAAACAGTCTAATGCTAATAGCTAGTCTATTGTAGTAATTTCTGCTCGAGTGTCACCTGACTCTTGCCGTTGGACTAGTACCACTGACATTTTCAGCTATAGAATCCTTGGATAGGTTGAGCGGCACACAATCTAAGAGAGTAAAATGAAAATTTTAAATGTCTATTTAATTATAATAATATATATTACTAACACGCATGGGAATTAATTTTTATCAGTTCAAAATATAATATTTTTAATGTGTTTTAACTTTTTAGAATTATAGAATTTTGTAAACATTTATAAATTTTAAATAATTTTAGTTGATTTAAGATGTTTGTGGTATGTTTCAGAGAATTCAAATATTTTATAATTACATTTGGAATAATAAATAATTATGTAGCTGCCTAAACTACTTCAAACTGCAATATTGGCAATGTATCTTGAAAATTGAACTGTTATATTTTTACTAAAGTATTTATTTATTTAATCTAAACTGTAGAGATTACATTTTTAAATATAATATAATGAATAATGATGATGAAAAGTTAATTTTAAAGAGACAAAAATAAACGGCCATAAAATTACTTATAGCTAAGGTTTTCATCTTATCACAATTGTTAAGAGGCTGCTAGACATAGCTTTGTGGTCTCCGCCTTGCAAATGTGTAACATAACAAATTTTTTGCTCAGTAAATCACGTTTATCACGAGTGAATTGACCTCTTGTACAATTTAAATGTAAGATTATTATCTAGGGCATCTCATAGGCTTTATTATATTTTTATTTTAAAGCAAGTTGTGAACATTTTAAGAATTACAATCAATTTACAATTTTTCTATATTTTATACTATCGTATATTATATATTATTATTACACTTATATATTACTCATGATTAGCTTAAAATTAAAATTAAATAAAAAGCCTACGAGATAACATATTTATTTACAATTCACTCTAATTTTTTAACTAACGGAGGTAAATGTGATCTGCCCAGCGTATAATTTGGTATGTTATGCGCTTGTAAGACGACAGCAAATGTTTGTGTAGCGTCCTCTAAACGTCCCTCTCGCCCAACCTCTAGTGGTCATTATCATCCTTTCCCCAGAATACTACGTTTCTCAAAAACAAATTTTGAAAGAAACCATGAAAAGGAGGAAATCATGTAGCTAAGGAATAGTTAGGGACCGTCGGAATAAAGTTGGTATCGACATCAAGATGCTGAAAATAGAATGTTAAGAATGATGGAATTCGTAGACATATCGTTTGATATTTGATTTTAAAAATAATATAGAGCTAAGCAAGTGGAAGAAACAGTCTGGAGTGAAGTATACATGTGTGAATTTCACGGGTTTTTGTTCGCTACCTGGTGCACTCTTATTTAAAATTGAGTACAGAAGACTAGATGAATTAAGAGATACAAGCGTGAAATTGTAAAATATGACCCACAATTCGAATGGTGGAAGAAGACTTACTTTTAACTGTCCAATGTGAGAGTAAAATCATTAGATTTCTATTAACTGGGAAAATAAGGCAGTTTATTAGGGTACACACGAATTGCGTACCAAAACAGGTAAACGAACCTTTTTGAACGAATTGCGTCCCGGACGCAATTCGTGTTACCTTTTCATCTACGGTTAATTATTGTAAGGGGTTCTTAAAGTGATATCGCCATAATAAAGATATGTCAAGTTAAATAAAAAAAATTTAAATTTAATAATTGTAAAAATATTATAATATCATAATAATATAAATTATAAGTCATAATAATATACTTATTTATAAAAAAAAATTAAAATTGAATTGTAAAAATATAATGTCATAATCAATCACATACCTATTTATAAAAAAATGTAAATTTAATAATTGTAAAAATATAATAATATCATTTTCTGTATTTATATTTATTGGCTAATGTATTAACATAGTCTTTAATTGTAATCTCATTATTGTTTAATTGTTTAATTTTATTTTCTAAAAATAATATTCTTTGTCTTATTGCTTTTCTAGGTACTCGTTGTTTTTCTAGACTAAACACGGCTAATACGCCATGTATAGCTCCGGCCCAAAAGTACAAACCACTAAAAACAAGTTTTCACTTAACATTATTATGTTAATGATACCTATTTAATTATTATTATTATTATTTTTTTTAAATTTAAAAATATCAAAATCAAAAATAAATTTGGAAACCACTGGAAAGCTTAAAAAAAATGTTAAATTAAAAGGTAACACGAATTGCGTCCGGGACGCAATTCGTTCAAAAAGGTTCGTCTACCTGTTTTGGTACGCAATTCGTGTGCACCGGTTTATTAGCCCAAGTTCGGAATTATTAAAAATCGGTAAAGCCACGTTACATAATAAGAGAAAAAAGAAAGGAAAAGCGACCTCCAATGTTTAAGGTTCTTATTCCTCGAACATATTGATAATTATTTTAGCACATGAGGAGTGGAATTATTTGTTATATTGTGACAAAAGAATTTATTTCATATTTATAAAAAGTATATTTACAGTATAAACTAAAAAAATCAAAATGGGGTTGAAAGAATAAGAGCAATAATGCGCAGTTGAGACAGTATGGACAAACACCAGGGAATTTGAGTTAGAAACGCAATAGACTATCGTTTACAAGTTTGGTAGCTAGAGTTTTTATTAATTAATGATAGCCATTTTACATACACTGATACCAGTAACCAGGCGGTAGTATTTGTGTGGGTGAAAACCTGAGACAGATACTTGCAAAGTTAACATTTGCTCGAGGATGAAAAAATGAACAAACAATCAACTAATTTAATGTAAGTGGGTCCAAGATGGTAATTTAATGAACAGAATAATAACTGCACTGACGTCACTAATATTATGACGATAAATAATTATATTGTAACGCAAACGTTGGCAAAGTTTCCATACAAGTAATTGTAGTTGTTAGTACACTTACCGGCGGAAGAGGATGACTCTTCGTCTAAGGTAGCTACAACTCCCGAGTTATTTTCTTCTATGCAAACGCCATATTCAGTAACACCAATTGCCACTCCACTTCTTTTTTTGAGGCTACTACTCTGTTGTCGATGGTTGTGTTGATGGAACGACGATGGTTGTTGTTGTACCGTGGGTGCAGGTTGATACTGCTGCTGATGGTGTAACAATAAATGGTGACGGTGAGCAGAATGAGGATGCAACATTAAAGGAGGTGGCGGCGATGGAGTAGCAGGTGGCAATAAACTACTGCCATTGACAGTGGCAGCTATCAAAGGTGAAGAGTAAGGTGCCACGACCGTCGATATAGACGAAGAGATAGCGGTGTTCGTGACTCCACTTCCAACAATCGCTTCTGGTGGATGTAGAAGAGGAGGCCGCTGGGCCAGATGACGTTGCCAAGTGGTACTTGCACCACTGGTGGTGGGAAATTGTGAAGATAACAAAGATGGTGGTTGAGATTTAGGCAACGGCTGAGGCAGTTGTGCATGAGTTTGATACGCCATAGCAGCAGCAGCCATTGCGGCTCGATGGTACAACACATTAAAGTAACCAGCTGCGGCCAACTGCCCAGCAGCAGGGTGGTGAATAGTTGGAAGTTGATGGAGGGCAGTTAGAACGGTAGAAGCATTATCTGCTGCATTAGCACCAACGGATGGTATTGCACTGGGCGAAGTTCCGAGACCATTTTCAACTTTAATAGCAGCAGTGTTAATAGATGGCAATGATGAAACAGCTGTTGATTCAACCGATGATCTTTTTCTGCTACCATTTGTATGATGTCTGTATCCTACACCATTTGTACTAGCAGCAATGGGTGGCGAACTACTTTCACTGCTAGGACTCTTGAGCAAAGTACGCAATAAGGATAGCGGTGCAGGAGACGGAGTATGAAGGTTTTTATGTGGTGACAACACTGCGCTTGTAGTAGTAGTAGTTGTGGTAACAATGCCATTTTCTGGATCCATTACCATTGAAACAGCACCACTGCTACCAGAGCGTTTTGCTCCCGCCGCACCACCAGACAATATCGCAGTTATGCTGTGGTCGTTGGTGGAAATCACCTGCGGCGGAGGTTGTGGAATAGCTTTTTTCACAATTTTATCAACTACCACCCGTCGTTGTGGTTGTAGTATCTGTTCCTGCTGCTGCTGGTGTCCCGATTTATATTTTTTGTGAGGGCTACTATTGCCACTCTTATTACCAAGGTTCATTGAAGTGGCAGTGATTGGAATTAGGATAGCGGCGGAGGGTGATGGAGAAACCATCGATCGCCGCTTGCTACCTCCTGT